ATGCCTGCTTGTGGAGAATGGACAGGAGGAGTTGGGCACCAACATCCGCTGCCCTCCCCCGGGCACTCCAGAGATTCGAGCCCTCCAGGATGTTTACATTACACCTCTTATTTTTAAGAAGGGGCCTTTTTAGCTTTTCCTACGAAATTCTTTTGGGGGTTGGTTTGTTTTTAAAACTTCAGTGTCATTTTTTGTCAAAACAACAGAATTAAAGTCATCAGCTTGTTTGTTCTCCTCTCCTTGGCTTTGTCCTCAGTGATAATAACACAGCGAGTGGGTGGGATTTGAGATATTTAAATATGTATTTGTGAATTCAAAGAAAGAAGGAAATTTGCTCTGTTTTGATTTCTGAGAAATGGAAATAAATGGTGTTGCTCTTGTTTTCTGCATCCCCAATTGTCATGGTTTCTAGTGCCTGCTGATGTGTTTGCAAGGAATTCCCTTTGGAAAGGCTCCTATGAATACCTGGGGAAGAAGCAACCTGCGATGCTGTCTGTTACTAGCTTCGACCCTGCCACCAGTAAAGTCAATGCCACTTTGATAGACCACAGCGGTGTGGAGCTCCTGGTGTCTGGTAAGGGAGTTGATGTAGACTGTAGGGATCTACACGTGTCGTGAGTGCTATCACAGAGCAAGGAGCAGCGTGCTCTGCTGTGCAGCTGATGTTGCTCTGGTAGAGCTTTCCAGAACCACCCCAGTTTGAAGTCTCCAGTCTTTTGATTGGACCAAGACAAACAAACTCATGTACCTCAGTTTGCTTTGACTCTGCCTGAAAGGCAGCTCAGCCCAGTTCATCATCCATTCCCTGGTGCTGGAGTGTGGACTTCGAGTTGAAGATAAACAAGATTAAATGATGTGAGTGCTCCTGGTCTTGGCCTCCATGGAGCACCGGGTTGTTGCTGATCCAGTGACATAACCTAAGCATTAATAGTTGAGCCTCTTCCCATGTGTAAAATACCTTTAATATCCTGGGGGGTGGACATGGGATTGTGTGTTTCCCAGCATTGTCCTAGGTTGGTAGGAGGAGGAGTTGTCCACTCCAAGGTGATGGGGTGATTACTCTCTCAGGTCGAAAGTCAATTACTTGAAACTCAAATAGTGTCATTGTGATCTAGGCATGAAAAGTCACTTATTTTTCAGGCATTTACAAGAAAGAAGATGTGCACCTGCTTCTGCAGGTTTACCAGATAACGGGGCCAGTGGAGATCTTTGTCAACAAGTTCAGAAACGATAAATGGGCTCTAGATGGACATGTAAGTGCGTGGGCTCCTCACACACAAAGTCCCCCCACACCACTCCTCTCCTTGCTGTCACAACCCCAGCTTTTCTCTCACTGAAGCTGAGGAAATAACTCCGTTAGCTGGTGGCAAGATGAAGCTGCTGTCCTCAGTGACCTGCTTACTTGAAGGGGACATAGGGCATTCTTCCAGCACATGACATAACACTACATGACAGTTGGCTCTTTGTGCTCCCTTTCAGCTAGATAGCTTTTTATTGCCCTGTGGTTTTAAGCCTGCAAATCTTCTACGTAGTGCTACAGGAGAAACCAACACGATTAATTCCATTTTAACATTTTATATCTGTTAAACATCAAGCTAGAATAGCTGATCTTCCCTCATGGAGTCAGCTTCTCACCCCAGTGTCCTTCCTTTGAGATGTGAGAGTCTTCACAACTTGTTGGGCACTCAGACTTCTTAAGAAATGCCACGATTTTTGGGGGAATTGAATCACGTTAATGCTATACATGAACTTGAAAGAGGCTGTGATAAGATGGGTGCTAAAACCCCAGGGAGGTGTTGAACACATCTGTTGATCTCTGCTCTCCTGTCCTTGCAGGTCTCATCAGAGTCTTCAAGTGGCACGTTTGTGTACCAGGGCTTTGTGCGTGGCAAAGGCTTTGGGCAGTTTGGCCTTCAGAGACTTGGTAAACCTCCTCCACTAGTACTTTTTCCCTTGACTGCTGAAAGCAAGATTTTGGTTGTAGTGGAGGCTTCCAAACAGAAAACATTTCTCCTGTCCCTGGCTTTAATTATCAGCCCTGCTGGGCCAGATCGTTATAGCTGGTTTTGAACCATCAGGTTTAACCTAACCCTTTCCACTCCTCTCTGCAAAAAAGCTGGTAGAACCCAAACCAGCCACCGGAGAAGACAAGTGCCCTCAAATCTCTGTGCCCCAGGGGGGAAATAAACAGGTTTCTGATGAAAAACAAATTGGTTGGAGCCACAAACAACACCTGGACCTTTTTTCTCCGTGTTGCCACATGCTTGACCTAAAAGCCCAGGTCCCATTGCTACCACAAAAAGCATCTCCGTCTCAGAAATCACAGAGGCACGTGGAGCTTGGACAACCCAAGGTCTAAGCTCCTAAATACCTCTTCAAATGTGCATTGAGCTTTTCAGTATCTTGTGAATTTTGGAATCTGACCCTGGAGTCTTGTCACCTTTACAGAGAATTAGATGCTCATTATTGCAGCCTTTAAAAGTCTCCCATAAAGCCTTAACATTAAGCATCCAAGTTTGAGCATTTTGGTAAGATAAATCTATTTACATCTCTCTTTAATTGCAGTTCTAAATAAATGATGATGTCTAAGCTAGGCTAGATCTCCAAATCACTCGCAGCTCAGAAGCTTTTGATTACCTTGCACCTTATTCTGTTGTTGACGATATAACCTGTAACTCAAGCAAACCCCATTTCCCACAGTGGTGGTGTGAAATGTGTTTACTTCTGCTGTGTTTCAGACATCAGCATGATGGAAAATGATCCAGAATCAATAGGACACCATTTTGCATCAAACAGCAGTTCTGTGGCAGCTGCCATTCTTGTGCCTTTCATAGCCCTGATTATTGCAGGGTTTGTGCTTTATCTCTACAAACACAGGTAGGTTTCAGGAATGTTGCCAGAAGGTGAAACAAAATCAAGGGGCTGGTAGAAATATTTGTGAGCTTGACTTAAAAGCACTTCCCCTGGATCTGGTTTCTCATTTAATTCAGAAAGTGAAAAAACGATGGAGCAAGCATGCGTGGAGGGGCGAGGGTGCTGGGAGAAGAGAGTGTTGAGGGCTTTTATGACCATTAATAAGATTTGTGGCAACATTAAGAAGGATAAGGCAAAGTAAATTTCATACTTCAGTGTTCAAGCTGGCTTTGCATATGTTTGTAAATTAGTGATTTCCTCTGATCAATGTATTGCTGTGGAAACGTTGCGGCACTGCAAAGCATCGTGCAGAGTAGCTGCTCTGCAGAGGGAGCACGCGAGGGGCTGCAGCAGAGCCCGGCGAGCTGCCTGTGCTACCAACCTAGAGCAAGATCTGTCTGTAGATCCCTTCTGCCTCTACCCTCTTCAGAAGCAGCTTTGTCCTTTCCACTGACTTCACGTCCAGGCTGCTCAGGTGGCTGCGGCAGGAGCAGCCTTGACCTCTCTGGATTTTCTCTCTGGCATCCTGCAGGAGAAGACCAAAAGTCCCGTTCAATGGCTACGCTGGCCATGAAAACACCAACGTCCGAGCGACGTTTGAGAACCCGATGTACGACCGGAACCTGCAGCCCACAGACATCATGGCCAACGAGACGGAGTTCACAGTCAGCACCGTGTGCACCGCTGTATAGCACCGGCCCCGCCGCGGTGAGTGCGACGCTGCCGCCGCTTCCTCCTCTTAAATCCCCTGCTCAGAGGAGCTCCCAGGCTGGGTCAGATCGCCCAGGAGGTCATCTCTGCCCAGGGTAAGACCTCCTGGGGACCAGAGGCAGAGCAAATCCAAAAGCCCCGTGGTGAGAACAGTCTCTGGGTGAAGGGAAAAAGGAGTCTCTAACAGAAATGGTTCCCGGTGTGACTGCAGTCAGGGTGTTCTGCACAGTGACCAGAGGGAGGGCAAAGCGGGGGGTTAAAACTTACTCCACAGGCACAGAGAAATAACTTAATGTCATAAACAAAAGTAGCCTGTGGACTTCTTACAATGACATGTAGGGACAGGACAAGGGGAGTGGCTTTAACCTGCCAGAGGGGAGACTGAGATGAACTCTTGGGCAGAAGCTCTTCCCTGGGAGGGTGCTGAGGCGCTGGCACAGGGTGCCCAGAGAAGCTGTGGCTGCCCCATCCCTGGCAGTGTTCAAGGCCAGGTTGGACACAGGGGCTTGGAGCAACCTGCTCTAGTGGAAGGGGTCCCTGGCCGGGGCAGGGGATGGAGCTGGAGGAGCTTTAACGTCCCTTCCAGCACAAACCAGTCTGGGATTCTATGACTGTAAGAGCACTTCTAGATTGGAATGTTCTTAGACAAGGAAGCCATTGCAGGCTTTCCTAGCATTTCTGTGTGCAATAACAAGCTGTTTCTCTTCTCTCACCCTTCCTTTCCCATTGCCCCAGATTCCTCCAGGGTCGGTGTCTAGTGGATGATTGTGTTTCACCTCACTAGTCTCCATCCATTCCCTCCCCATCTCCCTCCTCCCAGCCTTGTTGAGGCTGTGGAGAAGCTGCTACACCTTGTTGGACGTTGTGTTAACTCCTGAGAGACTGCTGGGTTGTCCTCTGTTGTCCTCACCCACCGTCTTCATCCTGCCATGGATAATGAAGCCAACCAAAGGTCTACTCTGGCACAACCACCCTCTCCCACCCTGCTGATGGGTCTCAGCCCAACGTCAAGACCTGGGGAAGTGGAGGACCTGGGAGGTGAGGTGATGGGAGGGCTCTTACAACCAGCTTGTGGTGATGTGTTCCCGGAGAGAGCAGTGGGGTTTGTGGGGTCCCACCAGCTGTGCCCCACTTTGGGAATTGCTTGGGCAACACAGAGGTAAAAGCTGCTTGCAGTGCACAAGGTGTTGACTGGGGTTCATGGTAAACACCGGTGTGGGACAGGACGAGCACTTGCTTTGTCTTTACTTGAGGGTTCTCTGTGGTTTATTTCTTTGTTGTTGTTTCTAACCCAGGGCTTTTGCAGAGGAAGTTCTCAAATGGGACCTTTTCAGGGAGACACTTTGCAAGCTTTTCTCCTCTTCCCTCTGTTTAATTTTGCTTTAGGCTTTCTTGCTGGGTTTCTTCTGCCCCATTCTCATTTCAGGCAGTTCTCAGGGCTGGTGAGGAGATGTCCCGCATCTCTGGCCTTGTCCCAGCGGCTGCTGATTTTAGCTGTGTCCAAACACCCTAATGAGGAAATTGATGACAGACACAAAGGGACAAAAACCTCTTTAAAAAGAACTCTAACAGGTACTGATTTTCCCCCAGTAGCATTCAAAAGCCTTTGACCTTTCCGTATTGATCCTCCAAATGGCAATGCAATAAGAGTTTTAATTTCTATCCAAAGCTGTTGCCTTTATTTCCCAGGGGTAGAAAGGTTGCCTTGGCTTTCATGAGAGCAGATAAGGCAGCTTGACATTTTTCCTCCGTGATGAGAGTGATGCTTTGGAGATGGTGCTGTCCTTCTCTTTGCTAAAGAGGGGAGCTGCTCTTGTTGATTCTGGGCTCTGGTCTGTTTGGTTTGAGTTTGAGTCACAGTTTCCTAGGCCAGGCTGGAGCCCTGGAGCACAGCTGGATGTAGTGCTGATGCAGAGCTCTGTGTGTCAGTGAGCAGCTGCTTCTTACAGAAGACCTGAAGGGAAGAGAGAACCAAAACAAATGGGGTGGTGTTTACATCCATGTTTGCATTTAAACCTGGCTTTCCCCTACCTGACATCAGCTGAGGTTTTGTCTCATGAAAACCACAGGGTAGGTTTTTTTCTCATTTGTTTGTTCTTTTGCTCTGTGTGTGTATATGTATAAATATGTTCTTTTTTTTACTTCTGTCTGTCATTCAGCACTCTTAGAGCAAGCAGCATCCTACAGCCTAAAGGCTGAGCAGCCAGTCTGCCAAAACAGCCATCTCTGCTCCCCGGAGCCCACCCCAACAGCAGGTCCCACATCTGCTCTCCAGCCCTTTCTGAATCCCACTCATTCAGTGCAATAGCCAAGGAGAAGTTTGTTTCAAGGTGTGTAAAACAAACCTGAGAGGTTTCACCACTGAGGCAGAGAGAAGGGAGGCTCCACTCAAACCAACCTGCTGCTTTCAACCCATTAAATCCCATTTTCTGCTGTTGCCCAAGCAACAAAGGAAGTGGAAGGGGTGTTGTCCTGGTTTTTTGCAAGCTGGCTGGGACCCCATAGGTGACATTCTCCATTCCTGTGCCCAGAACTTGCATTAGCTTAAAAAAAAAAAAGTTTAAAAAAAAAAAAAAAAGTTAAAGAAAAAAATTAGAAAAAAAATTAAAAAAAAGGAAAAAAGAATTTAAAAAAGGAAAAAACCTCCCTCTTTTGTACAGAGATATATTTTTATGAATCAAAAGTTTGTACAGTTAAAAAAACACAATGTAAATGTTTTTTCATTATTGTAGTAAACAGTAGTGGAAGATCAGCTTTTTTTTGTAAATGTAATAAAATGTATAAATCTGGTTTACATCAAAGTGTAAATATGTAATCTATACATACACCTGGCTTGTCTGCAGTATATCCAGTTTAATTTATCTGTCTCTGTATATGAGGCTTCCCCTTGTGTTCAGGCATTTACTGAATTTGAAAGCTATTTTAAATTTTTGACTTAAAATAAAATATAAATTTTTGCATTGCTTTTCTTACATTTCCTGGTGCCTTTCTGCTGAGCTGGCAAAGGTTTCTCCTAGGGCCGTGCTGCTGACCTGCTCACACACACACGTGTTTGCCTCGTGCCCCGGCTCTTGTGAAGGCCCCGCAGCAGTGGATGCAGAAGGACTCAGGCAAGACCAAACCCCTTCCCCATCAGCAACCTCTTTCCTCCTGCCCGGGGACCTGCTCTGGTGTAACTGGGTGAGCTTTAAGGGCCCTTCCAACCCAACCCAGTCTGGGATTCTATGACATCTGTGTGTCGTCCCTCTTGGTGCCCTCCTGTCTCCTCACTTGCTCTTTTTAAGCTGGAAATTACTTTGGCAGAGTTTTCTAGTTGGACAGGGACATGGAATACGTTGTTGTATGTCTCCTGTTGTGCTTTCTCTCCACGCCCAAGGTCAGGAAGACGGAATGATGCTGCTCAGAGTGACACCATGGGGTGTCCCCCTTCTGTCCCCCTCTAGTTCTTTCTCCTGTGGCTAGGAGTCCAAATGAGATGTTTTGGAGCTTAAAAGCCAAAGCTGTAAACTGAAACATCTGCAAGAGGGCAAAACTTTAATCTCTTTAAGCCTTAGAGAAAGGCACAGCCAGACAACAAATTAGTCATTTAATTGCTGTTGTAATCAGCCTGGAAGGAAGAGCTCCGTGCCCCTGCCAGAGCCGTGCAGTCTGTCAGTCTCTGAGACCATGTTAAAAAGCTGCTTGTTGAGTTACTGCGCTTCCCAGGTGTGACATTCCCACTTCTCCACCTGGTCCATGCGGGTGGTGGGTCCCCGGTAGCCAACGATCGTATCACTGCTGGGTTTTGGAGCTGGAGTCTTCTGTGAAGGGTTTAGTGTCATCCTCGAGGTACCTCCGCTTGGGTTCTTGCTGGCATCCTCAGCATGCAAACGAGCACCGTGGGGCTGCTCAGCCCCGGGTTCCAGAGCACTAGGCATTGTATGGGTGCCGTGTTGCACATAACCTCACAGCCCTCTCCAGCCACTTCTCCTGCATCAGCCAGTCAGGAAGGAAGCAACAGAAAGTGAAGGTGAATGGAGGAGCAGTGTCCCAGTGGGAGAGGGCTGTGCAGCCCTCCCGTCCCTCAGGGTTCCCAAACCCTCTGCAGAGAGACAAACACCTGAAGCCCGCTGGTGCATCTTCCCCCTTCCAGCAGGTCCTCAGTTAACCAGCACAACAAGCATTTACAGAGCTAATTAACAGCAATTTGTATCAGTGCTTTGTAAATGAGCGATCACCTCTTAGCTCCGCAGCCTCCACCTGCGGCTCCGGCTCCTCTGCTTTTTGGCAGAACTTAGCCTGAAGAAAGCAACTATTGTGCTAATTGTTTCAGTTGGAGAAAGCAGCTCCTGTCTGCTTCGGCCTCCAGCCCTGCTCCTGCAGGGAGGAGGTGGTGTATGTACGGAATTTACTGACGGATCCCACTGGCTCTGGGGTCTGTAGACGAGTACCTGGGCAGGGATGGTTCTTCCTCCTTGCCCCAAGGCTGATGCACTGGGAGGAAGGAATTGCAGTGACGTGGCTGCTCTGATTTCACTCCACAGCACATGGAGCACTAGGAAAACAGAGTTTGGTTTTAACTTGCTCCGTAGCTTTCTGAAGTAGGTGCTCAGGGTTTTGCTCCTGGGCTTAAGGTGCTCTTGGCTGGAGGATTTGAAAACCATAGAAGAGGTTGGTATGGAAAAACTGGCTGTAAAGAGCCTTCAAAGCCATGGTTTGGGGAGTTGGGGGCAGCTAAAGTGACTTAGAAAAGTTATCGGAGTTATCTGGGAGGCTGGGAAAATGAGGAGCATGAGGGACATGCCAAAGGGATGCAGAGAGCAGAAGTTGGAAGCAGTTCCCAGGGCTTGAGTTGTGGTGGATTATGCTGCGTCTCCTTGAGCTACACCGAGGCCTTGGGATAAACACACTTGGCTTTATCTCCTAGGAAGATGCTGAGATTGTACAAATTCCTCCCATCCCCATCTGAACAGGAGTGATACCAGATCCATCACAGGGAGCT